AAAAAAATGGTTTTAAAAAAAAATAAAGAAAAAAAAAACAGAAAAAAAGGTAACAAAACAGTATCATTCAAAGCTCTACCTTTCATGCCTTTACTTTGCAGGCATCAATGACCTGAGTGATTTAACCGCAGACTCAACCATATCCATCTCATACTCTATCCTACCATTGGTCCAACACTGCAAACAGTAGAACAAAAGTCAAGCAGGAGCATTAATTGATGTTATTATTTTGTATTCAGAAAGCTTATTACCACCACTAATGATACACAATAAAAATAACGGCAACAGACCCATCATCCAGCCAGTCTTTCGTTTATAGGCCCAAACAAAGAAAGAAAGTGCAAATTAACATGTCAGCTAACAATCAACATGATTTTTCCAAATCGTTAGGACCACCACTCAATCAACTGTGTAGTGTAGAGTATATCTAGGAATAAACATTAAATTCAAATACACTGACCTAGGAAATTTGGCAACATTTGCCTCAATATAGGATAACTCAAAGTGAAAGTCTGCTCAGTGACTTCCATAAGAAAGCACATAACAACATTAAAAAATGAAAAGAATAAACCAAGTACTTGAAACACCAACCAACATTAAATCAAGTCGCACAAAAGCTTCTTCTATGCCAAAAATTACTACCTACTTTGCAGACATTTATATTTATTAAAATTGGCAGGGTAACCAACAAAAAATTCTAGCTCAAAGAACAAGATTCCAAAATAGGTATTGCTTATGGCATGGCTTGGCCCAACACAGCTTAATATTGACCTATATGCCATGACATCCCACTTCTCCACCTAGAAATAACCTAAAAAGCAACTCGAAATGCCACCAAAACAATGCAAGAAACAATAATATGGACACATCTTACAGTTTACAACACAAAAATGACCAGTTAGTGGCTACCTAATCAAATGAGTGAAAATGAACATTAACTAAGCACTTGTCCCCTTTTCACAATCAAAAAGTTAATTTATCAATAACTCATTCAACCGACCCACATAATATTTTGTAGTGCAAGAAGATCGAGCTAAAGATGCACCTTTAGGTTCTATCAAACGAAAAAGTAAATAAATTTCCAGTATTTTTATGGTTACTGGTATCTATAGACATAATTTGTGTATTGCCACTCTCGATGTCTTCCCAATTCAAAATGAAATCCCTTGTGCTTTGCATACTTGGAAAACAAAAAATGAAAATAGCTCAAGATAGATACAGTGTAAACACAGACCACAAATGAATGCTCAGTGTGTGGATCCCATGCTACAGTTTCAACATCTGCTGAAACTGACCACTTAAATCTTGTATGAGAAGGTATCCTTCCATCCTTCTGCAATCACATAAACATAAATTTAATCAAAATAATGCTGAGGAAAGGCAACTTAGCAAAGTGAATGCACGAGCGCGCACAAAAAAAAAAGGTAAAAAAAAGGAGCAAAATGTAGGAAAACAATCACTGTGTTTGGTTTGAGTTTTCTGGATTAAATTTTTTGAAAATTGACTTTTTTAGTTTTTGTGTTTTTTTGTTTTTAGTGAATATTTTTTAAATTTTAAACATTTTTTTACTTTTTTAGATTTAGATGTATCTAAAAAGTAAAAAATTTGTGAAAAAATATTTTAAAAAATTAATAAATACATAAAAATACAAAAAATGTACTGAATTCTTGTATTTTTTTTTGTATTTTTGGTATTTAGTGAATTTTTAAAAGATTTTTTTTATAATTTTTTTTACTTTTTAGGTGTATTTATGTTAGGTGTGTCTAAAAAGTAAAAAAATTGCTTAAAATATTAAAAAAATTCAGTAAAAACAAAAAAACACGGAAAATAAGAAAGTAGAATTTTCTGAAAAGTGTTTTGGAAAACTGGAAACCAAGCAAGGTGAATAATTTTGAAGTTTATAATTAATAAACAGACCCAATAAAACATTTTCATTACCATGACTACTGTATGATCAAAGGATCCACTAAGTAGAACTTGTGGCACATGATGATTCAATGCGACAGCTTGAACCTGAAAATCAACTATAGCAAGGTCATAAAAATTATAAACAAATGAAGTTTTGCCACAGTAAAATAGATGACTTGAATCCTGAAAAAAAGAACCGTTAGCTATAATTTGTGGATACAGATACAAGTGCCGAAACAGATACAAGGTGTCAGACTGTGAACACCTTCGAATTCCAAAATATATTTGTCTACATTCTCAACAGAAAGAATAAGGTAAAGCATTAAAAACTTAATCTTATTAAGAATGAAGGATGACATAACTTTTCTTTCAGTCACTCTTCAATTGCAAATATTCTTCCCCATCCTAAGCTCCTTACAAATCCATCGCCATTCACATTCTTCACCATTATGCACAACTGTCAACCCCCAAAAATACCCTCATCTCTAGCACTAGCACTGACTGCAGATTTTACTTAGTCAATCACTGGCTCAGGACCCACCACCAGAGAGTTCAGATGTTCTTTTTTTATTTTATGTTATTCGCATTGGCATTTATAAAGCATGGAGTTTGATTCAAACCCTCTTTTTATGGACCCAACTATGAATCAACAAATAATTGATAGACTGAAGAGGGATTTTGCGTAAAGTATTAATTTCGAACAAGAAATTAATATTTTAATTATATATATTGAATTGACTAACCAAAGCCATGCACTATGATTTGAGGCCATCCCTTCAAACATTCACTCATTAGGGTTTTGAAAATTAGGGAAAACAAAAAAATTGGTTTTGAAAATTAGGGAAAACAAAGGAAAATAGAGAAATTGAGTGACAGAGAAAGAGAGGACCCATACTTGATCTCGGGGTTGTTTGAAGATAGGCGAACTGGTAGTAGCAGAAAAATGGTGATGGTGGTGCTGTTAGGTGCGAAAATAGAGAGCAACCATGTAAGTAATACAAATATAGAGAGAGAGAGAGAGAGAGAGAGAGAGAGAGAGAGAGAGTGGAGATAACATACATACTAACAATGGAGGCCCAAGTACTTCTCGAAGCGCCACTGATGCTTCGTGAAGAAGCCACACACGCGACTGCGATGATGGAGGAGGAGCGACTTTGGTGACTGCAATGGAGCAGGAGAATCGACGATGAGGTGCGTGTGAGGAGTGGTTCGCGGTATATACTGTTATAAAGAGTTTGAAAATTTCACTCGGCTGTTATAGGGCATTTTTTCCCTACCAAACTGTTGGTCGACACTGTGCTTCACTTAATTTAAATTACATTCAAAACAGTATCGTTTTGTTATGTGCGACCAAATTACTTTGGTCGGTAATTTTTTTTTTAATTTTCTTGCTTTTTTTTGCTCTTCCATATTCAACCTTTGCCAAGCAAATTTCATTTTTTGTCCAAGAAATTTTATTTTGGCAACGTTATATAGTACTCTAATAGATTTTATAATAATTTGTGCTATAAATTATTTGTTTTATTTTTCTAAAATTACGAATCAACGAATCATAATTTTTTGTGCTAAAATTACAAACTTACATCAACATCCCGCACCAGCTATTATACATTATTATAGAATTTTGCTTTGTTTTTATTAATAATGTTTTGTAATAATTCTTATGCTTAAATTTAGCCTATAAAATTAAAATTATCTTAATGTTGATCATGTTTTTTTTTAAATT